AAAACTTATCTCAAAGCTGTAACAACTTAATGTTTAGTATTAAATTTCACACTTTTTCTTGACGTCAGTTTCTCTTTCTTGACGCCACTTTCCACTCCTTTTTTTATTACTTTCAAAAATATTGTTTTCTGATATTTGAACGGAAAACAGGTCACTATAATAATTACATGTTTTTGGGTGCGATGCAATCTAATTACTACTTTGAATTACACGCCACTTTCCACTCCTTTTTTATCACATGTTGACAACAACAAAAAGTTTGAAACGTAGATCACGTTAATTACCTGATAGAATTAGTCAAAGATATTAAACCTATTTAAAAACAGAGGTAACAGAATATATGACTAATTCTATCATTACCTACATGCGTGTGTGCCTATATTAATTACACATATTAATATTCGACGCAAAAATGTAAAACAAGAGTTAAACTTACAACAAGAATCCCATGTTGTATTAAGACAGGCTGTCTCTTCGCCGAATCTCCGGCCCCGGCTCGTCCTTCCGGTATCCTTTGCATATTCAATATGTACCCATCTTGAGTCACCACCTTCATAATTAATCAATCAAAATAACACATCTCTCTCTCTATATGCTTCTATTGATAATTAATCATCATCAATAACTATGGATTACGAAAGAAAAATAATATATCGTACGTACATCATGTTCTTCGCACTTGTAGCCAAATATATGGACGGAAGAAGCGCATATGCCGTCGGAAGCGGTCCTCTGCGGCGGCTTCCCGGCAAGCCGGCCGAAGTTTCCACGAGCTTCGAAGGGATTAATAAGGGAAAGAGCGAAGAAGATTAAGAACCATAAGGCTAAACCGATGGAACCGAACGGAACCATAACCGAGCCGGGGATTGAGATAGGCGGTGTGTCGTTTCTATGAATAAAGTGAAAGGGGTTTTATATAGAAAAGTGATGACATAAGATAATAGAAAACGAGTTAATTGGTATAGCAAACAAAAGATATCCCGTTTAGGTCTATGGATGATATAAGAAAATGGTATTTTGGACCCACGTCAATTGCCTCCTATAATATTATCACACCCCAACAAATTAATGGTTAAAAGTTAAAAACACAAAATCAAAAGAATTGAAACATTGATAATACATTTATAATGGTGAATCACAGCGACCATTCTATGATTTCTATGTTCTCTCAGAGATTAAGGTTCGGATGATAGATATTTAGAATAGTATGTGTGGAACTGACACGAAATAAATTTGGAATGGAAAATAATTTTTAGTTGGATAAAGTCAAATAGATTTTTAAGAAATATTAAATCTGAATGATAATGGAACTGTTATCTTTTGTTGACAACAACAAAAAAATGGTAGAGGAATTAAATGGAATGTAAAACTTATTTTTAGAACGAAATTTCAAAGTTTTAAATTCAAAATCTGGTCTAATCATGTTTTGTATTTTACTG